TCCTGCATCTTGTTGTGGTATATCATTGACATAAATCATTTCAAAAGAGTCACATTCAGAGTGGGACTTGTACTTCGAGTGTGAAGAGATGTCAATGCCTTTCTTCCCATAAAAATCAGACTTAGATAAATACATGGAAATAAGTTGTGCATATTTTTTGATCTCATTCTCAACTGACGAATCGTGTAATGCACCACCCCTAAGAGAATCATAGATCTGTATAGATAAATCATTAATAGACACAACGATCAAAATCCAATGAAAGATCTCTTTGACGTTAACAGGAATGAGGATGTTATCAACTGTATGCCAATGTCTAGCAACATGCATTCGGTATCCATTAATATACTCAATAATCGACTCCTCTGTACTATCCTTGTTAATATTACTTTCAAAATTATAATAAGCATCCCAAACATTGGTAATCAAATTACTGAAACATTCACCTAATCAGTTGTGCTTGAACATGACACCTACGAATGCTAGATAATTGGGCAAAACATGTTCTTCCACAAAATTCTTTATACTGTGAACTAGTAAGCTTTGTAGCTAACACTTTCATTACTTCAATATTTGTGTAACAGTGCATGTGAGGTATGCGTATTGGTTCTCTTTTTCCTAAAAACTTAACAGCCTGAAAAAATACATATACAATTTTACTAAAAATACACATGTATACATAATTAAGACACAAGTACATATATCAAAATGTATGAAATAGCTTTTAAAATGAAAATAACATATACAAGTTTTATAAAGAAAAATAACATTATACAAACTAATTTCAGCTGTATAAATGTTTATATTGTATATATAGATAAATTGTTGTACCGCTATGAATACAATAACTATTGATATTATACTTATACAAATAAATTCAAATGTATAATTGTTTACATTGTATGTATAGTGAAATACAAACCATTTATGTATGTGTATAAGTTTGTGGAATTGTATATGTCTAAAGGAACATTATACAAAGAAGTATCCTTATACAAATGAAAAAATTTATACATAAAACAATGCACAAAACTGTACAAATACATAAATATTTATACTGTATATATATAGAAGTGTTGTGACACTACTAATACAATAACTATTAAATATTATACATTATACAACCAATTTCAAATGTATAATTGTTTACCTTGTATGTATAGTTAAATAGTTCTATTTTATGCATTTAACTTTGGATATTATCATAGTGACTATATAAAACTGTATAAACAGACAGATAGAAGACATGAATCAACACAGAAAATATAAGAAAAATATAAAATCGTAACATATACAAAAATAATGATTATACAAATACCTCATCATGCTCCAATAAGCCAGAAACAACCACTTCCTTTCTTTTTGCATTCTCATATGTATAATTAGTTGTTTTTTCTTTCCCTTTTTTACTTGACCCAGCAACATACTGATCTTTCTTACCTCCCTCCACAAATTTGATGTTGAATTGCTTCGATTTTGCACTCCTTTCCTCCAATCTGATTGGGTTATTTTTCAATTTGGATTTGATCTCTTGCATTACGTTGGATTTTGACATTGAACTTGCAACCTCCCCAAAATCCTGAGTTAAACCCAAGGAAAACGATGGGCGTTCAACACTATTTTCGACATGCAAGGGTATACCTCTTGTGAATCTTTTAGATGGAGACTGGGCATCCATTGTTTGAAGGAAAACTCTGTATGGATTATGAACTAATGTGAAAAATAGCTTGAAAAAACTGAAAAAAATAGACAAAAATTTAAATTAATCGATTGAGATAAGTTTTGGCGGTGCCTGAAATTTTGAAGGGATTTTGAAACCGCGATTGAGAACGTGCTGGTGGAGATTTGAAATTTCAAATTGATTTTGGGGAGAAAATTTGGGAGAAATTGAAGGAAATAAGAGATATAAATGAGAAGAAGATATTGTATAAAAGGAATAACGTCAGTTTTTTTTTTACTTATACAAATCGATGGGGCCCATTAATAGCAAACTGACCGAGACTTTGCTTCTCAAAGGAAATAAATGAAACGGTAGCTACTTTATTTATTTACATTAATAGTTTGGCATTATGTACAATTATCCCTATTAAAATTTTGATTAAACTCTCGAAATATCACATGTGTCACATAAATCGGGACAAAAGGAGTAATATATGTTATTTGAAAAATACGTTAAAAATACTATAAATCACAATTTAAAAATTTAAAACATATTGAAAATTTGATTAACTTTCAAAATTTCACATGTACCACAAAAGTCGGGACATGAGAAATAACATATATTATTTAAAAATTATCTTAATTAATTAAGAGTACTATAAGTCACAATAATTAACGATTTGAAAAAATTTAAAATTAAAGATTAAAATTCGATTGACTTTTAAAATTTCACACGTGTCACATAAGTTGAAACAAAGTAAATAACATATTTTATTTAAAAATTAGGTTAAAAGTAATATAAATTATAATAATGCGGCCCGAATAAATTTTTAGATAAGTATCACACATAGTCAATGCCCCCTCATCAGTGTGTTTCTTTCCTAATTTTGCTTTCCTATTTTACTTTCTTTTTTCCATTTTTATTTTCTCCTAATATCATAGTCCATATTCGTCCTTTTTCTTTATTTGAGTTAATTTTCTTGCTTTCATTTTTTCCATTTAATTTTATTTTGGTTTATAATACGTACTAGACTCTTTATTCCCTAACTTAGAATGCTTTTTTCTTTCTTCCATTTTCATTTTAAAGTGTGTTTGGTACGGAGGAAATTATATTCAGAATTTATTTTTAAGTTTTCTTATAGAATTGGTTCAACTGCTTGGAAAATATTTTTTTTTTTTTAAGAAAATAAGTTCCTCGAAAATCAGTAAAATAACTTCAATTTAATTATCATCTTTCACTGAATAGTTATTTTTTCTTAAAAAAATTCGTGTAAGTATTGATACTAAGTAATATTTTATCATTTCCAAAATATGAAAAACAATGAGAATATTTGTGAGTAGGATAGTGTATGTTTTAAATGATAATATCTATTGTATTAGTTAATTACATGTCAGATATTTTTATCATTAATTTCAAATAGTTATGCACTTATACTTGATTGTTTGTAGTGATATAAAAATTGGAAGTTCGCAATCATTTTCAACATAAAGATATTTCATAAGATGAAAAATATCCAAATAAAACAATATAAGAAGAAGTAGATTGTTTACTTCATCATTATCAAACATTCTACTTCTCATTCTTCTTGTAAATTTTAAAAAAAATATACAACTCTTAAGTATCTAAAAAATATGACAACATTGCCTAACAATGATATTGGAGACAACATTAGACAAGTATTGGCTGCTCAGGCTCACATATGGAACCATATATTCAACTTCATTAGCTCCAAGTCACTCAAATGTGCAATTCAACTCGGAATTCCAGATATCATCCATAGCCATGGCCGAGCCATGACCCTATCCGATTTAGTAGAAGCCCTCTCCATCAACAAATCGAAAGGTCATGATTGTATTTATCGTCTCATGCGTATTCTAATTCATTCTGGCTTCTTTATTCAAGAAGGAGAGGGTTATTTACTTGCTCCAAATTCACATCTCCTCCTTAAAGACGAGCCCTTGAGCTTAGTTCCCCTTGTGCAATTTATACTAGATCCAATTTTAATTGATCCGTTTCACTATCTTAGCCAATGGTTCCAAAATGTATACTCCATTTGCGACTACTCATGGCAAGACCATCTTTGAATATGCGGAGAAGGAAACAAAAATTAACTATCTATTAAACGAAGCCATGGCTAGTGATGCCCGTTTGATCATGAGTGTGTTGATTCAAAATGGTAAGGGACTACTTTTTGAAGGGTTGAAATCGTTGGTGGACGTTGGAGGTGGCACTGGAACTGTAGCTAAAGCTATTGTGGATGCATTTCCACAAATAAATTGCACTGCATGTCTTCGATCTCCCTCATGTAATTGAAGGGCTTGAAGGATGCAAGAACCCGAGCTTTGTTGGAGGAGACATGTTTAACTTCATTCCTTCTGCCAACGCAATTTTGTTTAAGGTATAGCTCACGCCTTTTTTTTTTTTTTCAGTTTGATATTACTACATGTATTAATTGTTTGTGTTTGATGTATATGGCAAATAGTGGGTATTACATGATTGGAGCGACGAAGATTGTATAAAAATATTGAAGAGATAATGAGCTCATCAGTTCATTGATGATCTAAACAGACGTGAACAGAAGGAAGAGAGGAAGAATCTTATTGATGATAACTGCTTTTCAACACATACAAAGTGTGCTTATATAGCTGAGAAATTGACAACAAACTAACTAACATTGCCAGCTCATAGTTGAGCAACAGACTCAAAGATTAACCAACTAATTGACAGCTAATTGATTAGTTAGCTAATGGACATTTGAACAGTGTTAAATGACTAGTGAACAGTATTAACTAACTAACTCTAACTAACATTTGAACACACCCCCTCAAGTTGAAAGGTGTATGACATTAAGCACACTAAGCTTGTTGAGAAGATACAAATGTTGTGCTTGAGTCAAGCCTTTTGTCAACAGGTCTGCAAGTTGATGCTGAGTAGAAACATGCATAGTTTCAACCACCCCTTCTTTGATCTTATCTCTGATGAAGTGACAATCAATTTCGATATGTTTGGTCCTCTCATAGAAGACCGGATTAACTGCCAATTGAATGGCTGATTTACTGTCACTAAGAAGAGTTACAGGCATCTGAATAGGCACTCCTAACTCAGTAAATAATCCCAATAACCAGGTGATTTCAGACACAACTGAAGTCATGCTTCTGTATTCTGCTTCAGCTGAGCTCCTGGAGACAGTGTGCTGTTTCTTAGACTTCCAAGACACCAAGGAGTCACCAAACTTTACCACATAACCTATGATAGATCTTCTAGTATTTGGACAACTAGCCCAGTCAGCATCACACCAACAAGTTAACATAGTTGCAGGTTTAGCTTGCAGCCAAACTCCCTATCCTACTGTGCCTTTCAAGTATCTAACCACACTTGTAGTTGCCTCCCAATGTGACCTTTTAAGGGACTGCATAAACTGGCTAAGAGTTTGTACTGCATAGCTGATGTCAGGTCTTGTGATGTTGACATACAAAAGCTTGCCAACTAATCTCTGATAAGATGTAATGTCATGAAGGACTTCATCTCCCATAACCCCATTCACTAAATCATATTCTACTGAAGTGAGTCTTAAATTTGATTCAAGAGGAGTGGGAGCAGGTTTGGCACCAGTGAACCCTGCATCTGCAATGAGTTCTAAAATATACTTCCTTTGATTCAAAATAACCCCTTTGGAGGACCTTAATACTTCAATTCCCAAGAAGTACCTGAGTTCACCTAAATCTTTTAACTTGAACTGCTGGTGTAAATTCTCTTTGGCCTCTGTGATTAGCTGTGCATATTTGCATGTGATTAATAGATCATTAAACATAGACTAGAATGATGACCAGTCCTTCACATTTTCTTAGAGTAAAAAGAGAGTAATCATGTGCACTCTGAGTGAAACCAGTAGACAACAAGGCATTTGTAAGCTTCAAGTTCCATTGTCTAGATGCTTGTTTAAGCCCATATAAGGACTTAAGTAGCTTGCATCTTCTCTTTAGACTAGATGCATTTTTATTTTTATATTTATTTTTCATATGGAGGGACAATGTTGTTCTATTTTATCCTCCATTATATTTGTTTTCTGTAGTACATATCTTTACTAATTTCGTCAAGCTACAACTACAGCCTACAAGCATTAAAAAAAATCATCGCAATTATAATTAATCTATAGATATCCAAAACTCCAATCATATCAACCGATACATAATTTGTTCGGTTTCAAGATAATATAATTGACTTCATCTTCAACTCTAGCTTTAGTGCACCCATTGACGCCACCATGACCTCACATCCCCCATACATGAGAAGACTAAGGTGGCTGCAACATTGAAGAAGCCAAAGAAGGGAGTCGTTTCATCAATTCTAAAAGAAGATAATTTTTTGGTTGATATTAGATACATAGAAAAACAGTTCAGATACATAGATCGAATACATGATCTAATCATTAAGTACATATCTGATACATACAAAAAAGCATTATATAATATTTCAGATACATTGTATATATTAGATACATCTTATTATTACGTATATATCAGATACATAGAAGACACATCAGATATATAAAAGAATAATTCAGATACACCGAATAAACAGATCAGATACACACAAAAAATCTACTTCTTTTAGGGGTTGCAAATAATCCAAAGTTGTTATACGTGTGATTTCCTCCTTAATTTATGTCTTTCAATTATATTCTTATTTAGATACTCTTAACTATATGTATCTGATTAACATGTGTCCGAGATACGTGTATATGTATCCAGATGCGAGTTATGGTAGGATTGGTAATATTGCAAACTCATGGGAAAGAAGGTAATTAGCTCCTAAACCAGTGGTATTTGTGTTATTTACCCCCTAAAAATCATTGAGATCAAGCGAGTCAGATTGGGCGGGTCAAGACCCAACCCATTTTTAAGTCCATTGAGCCCAAAGTAAACTTGGGCGGGTCAGGACCCAACCCAATTTCTATTTTAACCCATTTTAATATCTTTAATTTTAACTCAACTCGCCCATTTGACACCCATAAATTTTTTCCCATCATGAATAAATGAAAATATTTAGGCTTAAGTCATCTGCGGCCCCTTAAAGTTGTCCGCATAATTCACTTAGACACCTCACCTAGGACTAGTACCTATTGAACTATTTTATTAAGCCAAAACCTGTTCCTATTAGACCTTTTTCGAAAATCAGTAAAAAAAAGAAAAGTGTGTGTGATACACTTGCTATGATGTGGCAAAAATGACTAATTAAAAGATGACATGTGTCACTTGACCCCAATAACTATAATTTTTTTTTAATGTTAAAAAGAATGAAAATTATTTCAAATAAATTTTATATCTATTTTTTAATTAAAAAATAAATGAAATGACAACACATTTTACTCAACCCCATCCTACCCAACCCCCTTTCTTCTTCATCTTCTTCTCAACAATTTTTTTTCTCAAACCACATAAACCAACTTCACTGCAAATTACTTGAAGATTCAGTTTTTTTTAAAGTTATTTTTTATTCCTAATACGTGAGAGAGAAAGATATTCAAAGAGTCTAATACAATAGTGATGAAGAAGTTTGTCAATAGTTACTCATCTAAAAATCGAGAGGACCCAAATTAATTTTATCGAATTTTTTTTTTCATTCCCAATACGTGATAGAGAAAGATATTCAAAAAGTTGGTATAAGAGTGATGATGAAAGGAAGTTTGCCAATGGTTAATCATCTTGAAATCGATTGCAAGGAGAAATCAAGAGGACCTAAATTAATTTTATCGAATTATTTGATATTATTTTTGATAAGTTTACCGGGTTTACAATTTTATTTGAATGGTGATAGTTATTTGAAGGTGACCGGAAATGGAGATGGAACGTACTCGACTTACTTTTTTCATCCCGACATTCAAAAATCTGCTTTCGCTATTTTTCTTTCAAATTCAGTTACTCGATTCCTTTTTTTTTTTATGAATATTGAAAATAAATAGAAAACAAAAAAAAATTGGAGATTCTTTAGTTGTTTTTGAAAATTTAAATTTGGGGAAGAAGATGTATTGAAGGGGTAGGGGTGCTCTTTCTTTTTTGGATTAAGAATTATTATTTGTAGAAATATTTAAAAAATATTTTAATTTATTTAAATGTCAAGTGTCAATTAAAGAAGAAAAAGTAGAAGTTTTTTTGGAAAATATAAAAATAAAACAGTATTCCAAAAAATTTCAAGCGCCCAAAGGAAGTGAAAAACACTTCTTTTACCATATCAGCATTTTGTGTATAATATGTACATTTTTTGAGCAATTTAATTGTTCAATAGGTAATAGTCCTAGTAAAAATGTCTAAATAAAATATGCGAATAACTTTAAAGGGCCGTGGATGACTTAAATAAAAAATTTATGTCATAGAATATAATTTTTCTACTAATTTTCCAACGAACCAATTCACTAGAAAAGAATGTCAGTCTGCAGATAAAATGTACAATTGATGCACGTTTTTGGAATTCCATGTTTATATGTTACACTCTGATGCAGGAGACGACGTCATAGGTGCAGAAAACACAAAAGTCTCAAAGGAAAAACAATATTTTTTGGTGGGGGACCAATGTAACGTACAATTCTCAAATGTGCGCCAACCAGTAAAGATAAGTTCATGTTGGTAGGCTGTACGATGAAGCCTAGATTGGGCCTCTGCAGATAAAATGTACAATTGATGCACGTTTTTGGAATTTCATGTTTATATGTTACACTCTGATGCAAGAGATGACGTCATAGGTGCAGAAAACACAAAAGTCTCAAAGGAAAAAAAGTATTTTTTGGTGGGGGACCAATGTAACGTACAATTCTCAAATGTGCACCAACCAGTAAAGATAAATTCATGTTGGTATGCTGTACGATGATGCCTGGATTGGGCCTCTCGTTCTTCTTATCTTATAACAATATATTAAAATTATTGAGATCAAGCAGGTCAAATTGGGCGGGTCAAGACCCAACCCATTTGAATTCAAAGTGAACTTGGACGGATCAGGATCCAATCTAATTTCTATTTCAATCCATTTTAATATTTCCAACTTCAATTCAACCCGCCAATTTGACACCCCTAAATTTTTTCCCACGAATAAGTGAAAAGTTTGTGTTATAGAATATGGTTTTCCTACTAATTTTCCAACGAACCAATTCACTGGAAAAGAAAGAAATGACGTCAGAAAACACAAAAGTCTCAAAGGAAAAAAATTAATTTATCGTGGGGGACCAACGTAACGTACAATACTAGAATGCATTCTCAAATGTGGGCCAACCACTAAAGATAAGTTCATGTTGGTAGGCTATATTGGTCCTCTCGTTCTTTCTTCTTATAAATAATAAATATGTATATATAAATCCTTAGCATCTCAAAGAAATTAATAAGTATAACAAAAATGGCATTTCCTAATAATGATATTGGAGACGAAACTAGACAAGTTCTGGCTGCTCAGGCACACATATGGAACCATATGTTCAACTACATCAATTCCATGTCACTTAAATGTGCAATTCAACTTGAAATTCCAGATATCATCCATAGCCATGGCCGACCCATGAACCTCTCCGATTTAGTAGAGGCCCTCCCCATCAACAATAATAATAAGGCTAAAACTCATGATTGTGTTTACCGTCTCATGCGTATTCTAGTTCATTCTGGCTTCTTTATTCAACTAGCTGAAGAGGGCTATTTACTTACTCCGACCTCACGTCTCCTCCTCAAAGATGAGCCTATGAGCATGATCCCTTTATTGAAATTCGATCTAGATCCAAATTTGATGGATCCATGGCATTCACTCAGCAAATGGTTCAACAACGTCAGTGACGACTCTAATACTACTCCATATGCAACCGCTCATGGCATGCCATTATTCAAATATGCAGAGAATGAACCAAGACTTAACCATTTATTTAACGAAGGCATGGCTAGTGATTCCCGTTTGGTCATGACCGTGTTGATTCAAAATGGTAAGGGGATAATTTTTGAAGGGTTGAAATCGTTGGTGGATGTTGGAGGGGGTACTGGAACCGTAGCTAAAGCTATTGCGGATGCATTTCCACAAATAAATTGCACCGTCTTTGATCTACCTCATGTAATTGAAGGGCTTGAAGGAAGCAAGAACCTGAGCTTTGTGGGAGGAGACATGTTTAACTCCATTCCCTCTGCCAACGCAATTTTGCTTAAGGTATAGCTTTGTAATACACACGCCCCCCTTTTTTTGTCAATTTGATGTATAACTACTACATGTATTAATTGACTGTGTTTGATTTATATGGCAAATAGTGGATATGCTGATGATGGTGATTCTAAGTGGAAAAGAAAGAAGCCAACAAGAATGGGCAAAACTCTTTTTGATGCTGGTTATAGTGACTACAAGATTATTCCTATCTTAGGATTAAGGTGTGTTATTGAGGTTTACCCTTAATCTACACTCTTAATTGGACAAATTAAATAAAACATGCACCTACAGTGAGTGATCATGATGCATATTTTATTTGTCATTTAATTTCCATGTGTTAATAAAGGGCCCTTTTGTGTTATGTTTACGATCCTTACTCCTCACGTGATTACAATTAGGGCTGTGCATTCGGTTTTTCGATTTGGTTTGTACTATTTGGTTTTAATTTGTAAAGTGATATATAATCAGACTAAGGTAGATATATAATATACTTTAGACGTTGATGGCTTTTAACTATAAAATGAAAAGGATAATCTTGAATGTGAGTTTCATGAAACAAAAAAGATGAATTTATATAGATAAAAATTGAGGAATACCAAAAAGACATCTTAAAGTTTTAAATTAAATATTTGAAGGTTATGAATATGAAAAGCATGAAAGTTATGAATATTAATCATATCAATTGAAAAGGTAATTAGATATAATTTATGAAGGCAAATATTTAAAACAAATAAAGAAGAAAAATAAAAAAATGTAGATAAGAAAAAGTAGTGCCAATAATATTGATAGTGGAATTTCAAAGGGCCAAAATAGATAAAGAGAATACCTTTAAGAATATTAAATATATGCAATGAACCAACCCTCCATTAAAATCTCGAAGAGCAAACAATCCTCCTTTGAGCACATGAATACTCAATTTACTCAATGTAGTAATTGATTATCACTAATATTTGAACATGTAATTAACTAATTGTTTATAATATTTTAATTTTTCATTAAAATTTGGAAGAGCAAACAATCCTCCTTTGAGTACATGAACACTCCATTTACTCAATGTAGTAATTGATTATCACTAATATTTAAACATATAATTAATTAGATATTTATAAAATTTTAATTTAGTGTAGGGGTAAAATGGTATATATAAGGAGAAAGAAATATATTGAATATATATCTTAAATACACCTTCCAATATAAATCACAAGTAAAACGTAAAACACAATACTTAATCGTATATCAATTATAGATGTCCAAAACATAAAACACAATACTTATGACTATATCAATTATAGATGTCCAAACATAAAATATAAAACTTACGACTATATCAATTATAGATGTCCAAACATAAAACACAAAACTTACGACTATATCAATTATAGATGTCCAAACATAAAACACAAAACTTACGACTATATCAATTATAGATGTCCAAACATAAAACACAAAACTTACGACTATATCAATTATAGATGTCCAAACATAAAACACAAAACTTACGACTATATCAATTATAGATGTCCAAACATAAAA